GCCTTCCTGCATGGAAAGGGACTCCATGGCGAGGCTTCTCTTCCCTCACAACGGTTGGTGCTTCATTCTTCTTGCGTAGTGGGGAGAGGAGCTTTTGCACATGCTCTGTAAGGCATTTTTCTTTTTGGGGAGTTCATTTTCCAAAATTTCCTCCTTTTGCTCTATGTCATTATATCCAAAACCACCACAACAACACAACTCATTATGTTATTTGTAGTTCAATGGTTGCTTTTTCTCTTTTACAAAGAAATGCTTTATAAAGCCCATTCGGTTTATTATTTATTTATTTATTTATTTATTTATTTTTATTTCCCCTCCTATTCAGGAGCCCAGATGTATTTGTGTAACGAAGAACACTTTGGCTACATCAACGTCCCTGTGAAAGCGCACCAGACACTGGAAGATGAACGCATCAACTTTGTGCATCTCATCCTGGAGGCCATTGGTTAGTTAGACCAGAGGTTCTCAATCTGTGTCATCTGCTGGGGGAGCTTTGATTGTGTCTTCTTGCATGGCAGGAGGGGGTTGGACTAAATTGTCCTTGGGGCCTCTTCCAAGACTATGAAGGCTGTGATCTCTGCTGCCTCCGCTCCATTCTCTGTGCCTCTCTTGCAGTGGACGGTCCCCCCATGTTGCCTTCCAGCCACGTCTACCTTCCTCCAAAGCGCCCGACGAAAATCGGCTTTGACGAGGTAAGCGAAAGCCTTGCAATTATAATGTAGGGATGCTGGGATAGCATATCTGTATTTTTAAACTAGTGTGGATACCCAGCCATGCCTGAGTTCGGCATTTTGTAGTCATTGCCTCTCACTTCCCACCAGATCCATTATTGGTGGGGTTCACAGGACTCTCTGGTTGTGGGGCGGACTACAACTCTCATCATCCTGGGTCAATCTCCCCAAAACCCTGCCAGTATTTGAAGGGGGTCATGACTGCTATGTGTGCCAAGTGTAGTCCAGAGCAGGCATGGGCAAACTTCAGCCCTCCAGGTATATATGTACATAAATAAATAAATAAATATAATAATATAATATATTTTTTTGTGTGTATATGTATATAATACAACATGTAATAATATTATATAGATAGATAGATAGATAGATAGATAGATAGATAGATAGTGTGTGTGTGTGTGTGCGTGTGTGTGTATATATATATATATATATATATATATATATATATATGGTAAAGGTAATATAATTATATTTCCACATATATGCACATAAATAAATACATAAATAATATTTTTTGTGTGTGTATGTGTATATAATACAACATGTAATAATATTAGATAGATAGATAGATAGATAGATAGATAGATATTAGATAAATAGATAGATAGATAGATAGATAGTGTATGTGTGTGTGTGTGTGTATGGTAAAGGTAATATAATTATATTTCCACATATATATGCACATAAATAAATACATAAATATAATAATATATTATGTGTATACATACATATATAATACAACATGTAATAACATAATAATATATATTCTGTGTGTGTGTGTTTGTGTGTGTGTGTGTGTGTATATATATATATGGTAAAGGTAATATAATTATATTTCCACATATATATGTACATAAATAAATACATAAATATAATAATATTATAAAATTGTGTGTGTATGTATGTATATATGTGTGTATATGGTAAAGGTAATATAATTATATTTCCACATATCTATGCAAATAAATAAATATATAAATATAATATAGTGTGTGTATCTATATAAATAAAAATGTAATATTATTCTGTGGGATTAACATAACTCAAAAACCACTAGACAAATTGACACCAAATGTGGACACAAGACACCTCTCAGACCAACGAGTGACCATCACTCATAAAAAACACTAGAAAACACGGTGGAAGAAACTTTAAAAGCCAAAAAATAAAAAATACATTACAACGCATGCGCAAAACCATCTATATATAACATTCCTCCTGCCACACGTTGCTGTGGCCCAGTCTGTGTATATGTGCTTTGTGTGTGTATATATTTGTGT